AAAGAACACTACCTCTAAGGATGAGCAAAAAATTTATGTTTATTCATCAGTGGACTCACCTAGTGTTAAAACTTTACAACAGAACTCTCTCATATGACCTGATAAATCAATAAAACTACAAAAGTAATTATTGAAAAAAAGGTGAATATTGAAAATGCTTAATATTTTTAAGCGGTTTTCAATAATTACTTAGTTTAAAGATGGGTTCCCTTTTTTCATTATGAAAATGAAAATACTAATACTTATATGAATAGAAAGTAGGTGTGTTCTAATGACTTGGAAAAATACCAGTTTGTCTCACATGTCCATAATTAATTCATAATTAGCTAAATTAGAAGAGAATTAACAGCAGAATTCCAATGAGTGACCAATCAAGAAAGGTCAAAAATTCTTTTTTTGTTTATCCAGACTGTACTTATACATGGACATTTATGATTGGTGAAAACTCTTAATTATATGCAATAAGAACATAATGATATGATTAAGAATACATGATAACTCATTAAAAACACAAATTAATCAAATAGTTTGCCTAATTTGGCACTAGAAAAAGGAAAAGGAAACCCATCTTTAATGGATCTATTTTCATAAATAGGGTGCATGTTATTTTGTTAAGGCACCAGGTAAGTCCACTATGAATTTAGACTCATTTTGGCCAAGTTAGAGAATTTATATTTTATGTGCATTGTTGGAGGGAGTAACCTAGCTATTCAGATGTATACGGATGGGATATTACCATTTTAATCATACCCATAGCTAAACAACAAAGCTTTGATTGTAAGTACAAGTCTTTGTTTGCTGCCCATTCAAATTGTAGCCTGTAGAGTGAGCACGAGTTGCACAATATAGCTAATAGATATAAATATAACAATATTGAACGATTATCCAATCATCACAAAAATCGATAGGGATCATCTTCATAATGACATTGACACACAAAATCAAAATCAAAAGAATCTGTAAAGAATTGTAGCCTGTAGAGTGAGCACGAGTTGCACAATATAGCTAATAGAATGAAACGTCAAGTCAGACATGATATTTCGACGAAAAATTATCAGATCATCTTCATAATGACACTGACACACAAAATCAAAATCAAAGGAATCTGAAAAAAATTGTCGACTGTGGATTGAACACGAGTTGCACAATATAGCTCATAGATATGACAGGGTGATTACAATATAAGCCCATCTTATGTGTGGGGGTATAAAAATTCGAGGGAGTTATTAAAATGGTTATGAATTACGTTCGTGTGTGTTGTTTCTGTGTAAGAACAATGTGTATATAATTTCGTATGGGCTTTGCCATTTTCACGGCTCATTCGAGTGTCACATCTTGTAATTTATGTTACTATTAGCAGCCTAAAAGCAAAACCCCTCTCCCTAATTTCCCAGGTCCAAGATTGATGTTAACTTCCAGTTCTAGAGCCATTTGGAAATCTCGATCTTTAAGATCATGTGGCCTAATTAACATAAAACAAAATGATCTAACATTGTACATATTATAACTAAGATAACATAATTGATGTGGTGGGCATGGCATTCTGGTTATATTTACCTTGAAATATTTGCAATTGTTATAACTCGCAAATTTGGTGCCAGACAAGGTAATATACGCCCACTGCCAGCTTTGATTTTACATAAAAATATTTGGCAGTACGATAACAATCACCAGTATGAAATATTCAACCTTCAGTCATACACTTCTTTTGAACTTTTTGAGGCGATACTAAAAATTGAACGCATTTTCAAGAACAAGGGCACTAACTCATGCTAAATATCGGAATCTATATTTGACTTCAGCCTCTATTTCCTTGAGGTCTGCTGTCGCCCTATCTACTTCCATTTTACAAAAATAATTTCCTCAAAGTTTAGAATTATTTCCGAGAACAGCATCAGAACGGGATGTAAATGAATTGAAATGGCCTACTTTTCTGCACCATGTGGACTAATGAAGATGGGCAACGCCATGTAGGGTGCGATGAGGAAAATTTTGCCAGGACAGCGGCAATAGCCTGCTCTTTTTCGATTTCCAACTGAAGACTGTTTTATTATTTCAGACAGCTGCCAGTGGGCGTATGTTACCTTGCATCGCAAGCTATCTTTTATTTGGTTATCAGAATGGTTTTTGTTCCGATTAGCAGCATGTCCCAGAAATTAAGAGCTGAGCAAATATTTTTTGGTGCCACTTTGAGATAACATTCTTGACATAATTTACTATATTGATTTCCCAGCTGAGTTTGATGATAATTAGAATTGTTCATATCAAGCTGTTATTTGTCAACACATTGAAATAGCTGGTACATGTACATTGATAAAAATTCTTATGACTATTTTCAGCCATACATGTTACTTATTACAACATAATTATGTTAACTCAACACTAATTTATATCTAGCATATCTCTTTATTTGTGACCTTGGCCAGTGCTTTTCTTATCATTACAACATAATTATGTTAACTTGATTATGCATTCAAATTAGTACTTGATATAGATGTTAAATAAGTCAACTTTCATCACTAATCAAGTCAACCTACTCCAGAGTAGTGAATAAGTCGTCTTACAGTCATTGTTCCAGTCAAGCTAGCTGTTAATTGGTCCAAAAAAAAGTCATCTTTCATCCTTACTTTAGTTGACTTCTGCAAAATAAGAATAAGGCCCCTTTCTTTCATTATTCCAGTTGACCCAGATGGAACTGAAAAGTCTTTTCCAATTCATTATTTCAGTCGACCTAGCTGCGGTTGGTGTCATCTTTCATCATAATTCCAGGTGACTAAGCTGTAAAATACTACTGAATAAGGCGTCTTTCATTGAAATTTCAGTTGACTCAGTTGTAAAAATAGTACTGGATAGGATGTCTTTCATCATTTTTCCAGTTGTCCTAGCTCTAAATGGGCATGGTCGCTTACTGTTCTAGACGACTCAGTTGTAAATAGCCAGTGATAATCAGGACGAGGTCTATGCCAAGAGGTCACCCCTATTAGTGCATCGGAGATCGCCTTGCAGGATGCCTAGAGTGAATCAGAAAGGTTCGAGGTGACCCAACTGTAAGAACAACAGTTATCAAATATTATAAAATATACTAGGATGAAATTTATTAAAAATAATTACACGACATGTTTTCTATTTCTGCTGTATCGATTTAGTATCTGTATCTATCTCCGTTTCTATATAAACTCACACAATTTTCACTGATCATAAAACTTGATTATCGAATCAATATGATAGTCAATGCTAATTTGATGTTGATGGTGGTCTTGCTAAGGGCCGGAACATTGCCAGTGGTGAGTCCTGAGCGTTACCCCTACATGGCGCAAAAGTTTTGGGGAAAATTAGGTAAGTATAACAGGAACAGCTGAGACTGAAATAAGCTTGGAAGACAAGTTCGTTTGCACTATTTATACTAACTTTCCTCCATAAGAAATCTAAGCTGGATTTCTACCATGGTTTACAATTACAAGTTTGTTCTATCACTATATTTTTAAGATGAAGAATAAATATTAGACTATAATTTTATACATCTGTATTATTTTGTTGTAGATTGTGATAAGTATAATCTACCAATAAATACGATGTGGATTCAAAGAGATAGCTGTGAAGACAATAAACGATTCAAGTGCAAAAGAGGATATGTATCACAAGTTCAAACAACTTGTAAAAACGAAGTCTGGATTTTGGAACCAGCTTGTCAAGGTAAGAATTAGTTTCCACACAAGCTCTATACATTGTAGATTTTGCAGACAGGGTATTTCGTTCGGAAATAAAGTCTACATTGGTATCTAATTTATATATAATATTGAATTGAAGAAGAAAAGTATTTTGTATACGATACGAAATGAAATGAAATAGATATCTAATGATCATTTGTTTCGACTTTCATCAAACTTTCGAGTTATTATTTAATATTTATGTTTTACTGTTAGCTGTTAGCTTAAAATCCTATGTCGTTGTCTCATAAATTTATTTTGGTATTAGCTGTAGAGTGTCCACAAGGTGTGAATATCACTAACTCTGATGATGTAACAGAATCTAGAATATTTGGTGAAGATTTTAGTTTTAACTGTTCAGTTGGCTACACTAAGAATGGTGAGACGGGTACTCTGAGGTGTGGTGAAAATGGTATGTGGCTAGAACAACAAGCTTGTCAAGGTAACAGTTTAAGAATTTATAGTTGTAAGGTGGGTGATGCAATAGATTAAGGATCCTGAAAGGGGTATTGGAAAGAAAAAGAAACACTTGATCTTGTCCGTATAGGAAAAAAAAAGAAAAAAATTGAATCAATGCTACCCCTTTTATAAAAATCTCAAGTATCTAATTTATATATAATATTGAATTGAAGAAGAAAAGTATTTTGTATACGATACGAAATGAAATGAAATAGATATCTAATGATCATTTGGTTCGACTTTCACCAAACTTTCGAGTTATTATTTAATATTTATGTTTTACTGTTAGCTGTTAGCTTAAAATCCTATGTCGTTGTCTCATACATTTATTTTACTATCAGCTGTAGAGTGTCCACAAGGTGTGAATATCACTAACTCTGATGATGTAACAGAACCAAGAATATTTGGTGAAGATTTTAGTTTT